AAATAAAAGGAAAACCTCATTTTGGGAAAAGGAGGACAATGGACTCATGAAAATGTTCCTCGTGCCCTTTTAGCATTTTCTTCCTCATTCTGTACATGAAATAACTGAATACATTTCCTGGAGTTTATCAAACTGCTTCCCACAACTTGCAAAAATTAAGGGATATTATTGGATTAAAAACAAGCAAACATGTACTCATTCTGTCAAACAGCCGTGATGTGCCATCTTCAGAAAATAGGCTGTGCGCATATTCATTGATTTATTTCAAAACTTCTCCCAGTCAAAGGGTCCTTGGGGGTTTAATAACTTCCTGCTATAGACAGTAGCAGATCTATTAGGCGGAACTGGTGAAATAGAGCCATTAACATATAAACCCAATGTCTTATTGAAAATACATTTTAAAGTTGGTGACAGGACCTAAAAATCATCATTTAATACCATTATTTTCAACAGCTTTTTCATTTGACATGGATGCTTTGGTGATTTAGTGCCACGACTACAAAATGTCAGGAAGATTTATTGACATGAAGCAGATCAATTCATATTAGAAAATAGGAACAAGAACTAGAACATCCCTTTTCTGATTGAAAATGTTCACCTATTCTAAGCAGATTGAAGTAATATCTAATCAGCATCCTCAATATTAATTTTAGAATTACTTTTTATTAAATTATAATCTAAATTAAATAGCAATTATGTCTACAAGTCATGGGAGAGAACGAAAGCTATTGTATCCATGGGCAGCAATAGTTTTCAGTTTCATCAAGGTCAAGTAATAGTTCTATCAATTACCATGTAAGAAGTAGATTTCTCAGTGAATCCTGAATCCTTTTAGAGAAAGAAATACCAGTTTATTGAACCATATCAAACACAGTCACAATGAATCCCTCCTACCATGTTAATGGTTGCTTCCATGGAAACAAAGCTTACAAAAATAGCTAATATTCTGTTGTGCTTAAGAAATTTAGCTTACGTGTTTGTTCCAGCACAATGACTGTAATTGGCTATGGGAGTTATGAGTGGGTTTAATATTACTCCTAAGCAAGTGTGATAAGTGTGCTGGTAGAGGTATGCATAGAGCACACAGAGCACAGAGGGAGTCAGCTAGCTCAGGCAATCCAGGAAGGTTTCACGAGATGTCTTGGAGAACAAGGAAGAGTTCGCTGAAGCATGAAAGAGCTATCCAGGAAGAGGAAATAAAGAGGGGTAAGAAACAGTAGGGAAAGAAGAATCAGGTTTTAGGCATCACTGATTGCCCCACTGAGAATCTTTGCCTGGAAGGCAATGAGGGTCTGTAGAGTACATTAGTTACTTCTACATTCCTGGCATCCATTTTTTATGAAGGTAATTGCACCTCAACTTTCCTTGGATAACCGTACCAATTACTTATAGTATCTGAGCATTTAATTCTAGACCAGGAACATATTGAAGAGACTTGCCAGGCAGTATGTATGTGAAGAATGAACAATCCACAGTACCTGCCTTCAAAGAGTACGTAGTCTAGTAGCAGATATGAGAAATATAACTATCGTGAAGTCATAGTGAAAAAATGTTATTATAGACATATGTACAAGATATTATAGAAATACGAGGAAGAATCTGAAAATGATACCATCTAATTGGAAGGGACTTAAGAGGACAAGGAAAGGCTTTCAGGAAAATCTGAGCCAGGAGCCATGTCCAAAGGACAAATTTGAGGGATGGTGGAAGGTGGTGGGGGCAGGATGGAGATAGGATGAAATCCCTGTGAGTTCCCTTTCTTTAATTGTTAAGAAACAGCCTGTGTTTTAGTATGGATGGAATAAGGGGTTGGTGTGAGGATATGGATAACATTATGTGAGTACTAGAGGCGTTTATGGAGCTTTATTCCCTGGGGGTCAAGCAACTGAATACAATAAACAGCTGGCATCAAATGTAGGTCTTAACTCCAAATCTTAAGGGAATATTTATCATACCAGTAGAGTAGGGAAGGACAAAGCTCAGAGAGGGAAACATTGTGGAGAGTTCACTGCAGTAGAAAATTCTAGGTACTGTGTTGCCAGCACAGGGCAAGCAATTATTGAAATAATTTCCCTTTCCTATTCTCTGCATCCACAAAGTGATCCATTGTCTTGAAGAAACTAAAAAAGGCAAAGTACTCAGATATTCAATAATTCATTTGGCCTTATTCACTTAGTATATTTGTACATTGGTTTTGTTTGGATATACAAGATGTGGATTGGACCCATTCACACCATTGATTTGGGTGTGACTTTTTGGTGACTGACAGTCTGAGTTTCCTTGTTTTTCTTCTTTTAAAGTCTTTTAAGTCTCTCAACCTAACAACTATTATTTCTATGTTCTGAGGCTTTCCAACAAATCTGAGAGGTTCAGAATCCCACAAAATGGATTGCAGTTTTTCAGGCAATAATGCTTCTTTCAGAACATGGCAGAAATCTTCCAGGCAGTAAAGGTGAAGGTAGAAGAGGCAGTCTGTGGTGGATTTGCAGGTTCAGAAGTAAGAGAGAAAATTAAAGGCACCCCCAGGGCCAGGTGTAGGAGATGCACTTTACTTGCTTTCATCCCAGATATGTCTTTAACTTGTGTTTTATTCTTGAATCTTCGGTTTGAAATGCAAATGTCATCTGGGAATCGAGAGAGACATCTAGAAAAGGTTGTTTGAAACCCTTAGTATGCCTAGATATGTTTAAATTCTCCCCACAATTTATGTTTATCTATGGGGGCTCATATTTTTAAGGAATTGGCTGCCTCAGACTCCTCTGTCTCCAGGAGAAGCCCACACACATAAGGGATTTTGTGAGCTCAATGGACTCTACAGTTCAGTAGAGTGTGAACTGTGCTATAGTCCAGATAGCACAGAGAACAGTCTTTTGCCCTTCCCTTGACTTTAATCTCTCTCTCTCCATTTCTCCCTTCTCTCGCTTCCTTCTTTGGAACCACATAAAACCATCGCTTTGTCTAATGTACAGCCCTTTAGCATTCAATTTTTGAAGAATTCACTCCCTTCCACAATCATTTGCTACCAAACGTAGTGTTCCAAGAGGAATTTGGTGACAATGTTTTTCTCCTTACAATAGGAGTTGTATTTACCCTCCAGGTGACTTTCTTTCCCATACTCAGGGTTTATTATTGCATATCTTTCCCTAACCCTTCACTTTTCTCATATTTCCATTGGGAAAAACAGAAACCAACACCAGAAAGACTCCCTTATGTTCCAACGATGAGTTTTACAAGTTTAGCTGTGTTGGCACTGATCTTTGCCTTCTCTCTTCTTGTTATGATTAGGAAGTTTCTCTTTGCTCACAAAAACTAAAAGTTACCATGTTTTCTGCATACATCCTCCTTTGCTTTCTTAAACTTTTTATGTTTATTCTTTTCTTCAGTACCACTGACTTCTCTCGGTCAACTCGATCTTTCCCATCACGTATATACATTTTCTTGTATCTCCCATTGTATTTTTTTAACTTCATTTGTTTATTTTGAGAGAGAGACAGAGCACACAGGTGGAAAAGGGGCAGAGAGAGGGAGATAGAGAGAGAATCTCAAGCAGACTCCACACCATCAGCACAAAGCCCAATGTGGGGCTCACACTCACGAACTGTGAGATCATGACCTGTGGTGAAGTCAAGAGCTGAATGCTCAACTGACTGAGCCACCCAGGTGCCCATGGTATCTCCCACTAAAAAAACTTTTTTTTAATGTTTCTATTTTTGAGAGAGAGACAGAGTACAAGTGGGGGAAAGGCAGAGAAACATGGAGACAGACTGGAGCAGGCTCCAGCCTCTGAGCCATCAGCATAGAGCCCAACGCTGGGCTCAAACCCACGAACTGTGAGATCATGACCTGAGCCAAACTTGGCTCCTTAACTGATTTAGCTACCCAGGAGCCCCTAGTATGTCTGATTTTAAACAAAATTGTAAGCTAACTTATGTTCTTCCCTAGCTGCCACCCCAGTCACTATTCCTTTTTACAGAAAATTTGTAAAAGCCTTATTTATGCTGTCTCCATTCCCCATTTTCAAATAACTTTTCCATTCATTACAACCCACCTTTCCCCTTTATCCTACCACTGAAAAAAATATGTCAAAGGCATCAATGATCTCCAGTTGTAAGATCCAGTGGACACTTTTCTCTCCTCCTCTTTTTTGACTTACTTAGCAGCATCTAACAAGATGACCACCTCCTTCTTTCTGTACAACGTGTCTTACCTTGGTCTGACTCCATGTTTGCCTGATTTACTTCTTAGCACCCATCCTTCTCTTTTTTAGTCTCCTTGACTGACTCATTTTCCTCTGTCTATCCTCTAAAAAAAAAAAAAAAAAAGGATTCTCCAGAGCTTAGTCTAAGCCCTCTTTTCTACTCTCTTCCCATATAATATCACCTAATTCTGTTGCTATAAACACTAAGGATTCCCAAATTCTTTCTTCCACTTCCAAATCTCCAAATTCCCCTCTCTGCTCCAGACTCAAAGAGCAAAATTTTTATTTGATACTGTCAGTTAGGTATCTTTCAGGAAACATGGTTAATATGTCTAAAAAGAGAAATTTTGATTTTCCACTAAAATCAATCCTAGCTCCATACAAATTAAATGGTATCACTTTCTTCTCAGCTGCCTGAAGACAGAAACCTGTGAATTATTCCAGATTAGTCTGTCTCTCATTCTTCACAAAATGTCTCTTGGCACATTTTATTAATTTTACCTCTAATACAATGAAAATCCACTCATTATCCATCTCTACTGCCACCCCATCCAAGCCAGCATCACTTTGTGCCTGGTGAAACCTCACGAAGTCCCAACTAGTCTCTTTCTTCTCATCATTTTTCAGTTTAGTTTTAGTATCCACAGTGATCTTTTAAATACAAATTTGATTAGGCAATGGCTCCCTATTTTTTCTCAAAGCTTGGTCTTGGCTTATAAGTCATGACTACTTCATTTGCAACTACAACTTGTTAACTGCCATTCACTCAGTATGATCCATCCCCATGCTAGCCCTTTCTTACCTTCTTAAGTACATTAATTTTCTCCAGTCTTACAGCCTTTGCACATGCTGGTTCTTCCACTTGAAATAGCCATTCCATGGTTCATTGCATTTTTGTTTTTTTTTTTCCTTCAGGTCATCTGAATGGTATCTGAATGGTATCTCCTAGTCATCTTAGGCTCCCATTCCCATTTGCTACCACTGCCTTCTCTTCAATTTCTCTACAACTTCTAGTTGGTTTTCTGACTTGTCTTTCCCATGAGACTATCAGTTTGCAGAGCCTTTAAAATTGGATGCCTAGGAGCACCTGGGTGGCTCAGTAAGTTAAGTGTCTGATCAGATCAAATCATGATGTCATGGTTCCTGAGTTCCAGCCTCACAAAGGCTCTGTGCTCAGAGCCTGGAGCCTGCCACATTCAGATTCTGTGTCTCCCTCTCTCTCCGCCCCTCCCCCTCTCACACTCTATCTCTCTCTCTCTGAAAATAAATAAATAAATAAATAAACATTAAAATAAAATAAAATAAAATAAAAATTGAATGCCTAGATCCCACTCAAGATATTTTGGCTTGTGTAATCTGAGGTGAAGTCTGTAGTTGAGATTTTTAATAACTACCTTGGCAATTTTAATGGTCAGCCAATATTGAGAACCACTGCTCTGGATCCCAGTCAACAGCATCAGTATCACCTGCAAACTTGTTAGAACTGCAACTCCATAGGTCCTACCATGAAATTACCAAATTAGAATCTGTCCAGATGATTGTGATGCATGCCGAAGTTTAAGAACTGCTACTCTAGAATAATGTCCACAGTGTTATTCCTTGGTGCAATGTCTTTGGCCCAGGAGGCATAACACACATTGGAATCAACAAATGAATAACCAATCATAATCATAATCAATACATGAATACATTATATAATAAATGATAGAAGTTCTAAATGGCTTTCTCTTGCAGAGTTGAATGCAGGCGATTTGATACCAACATACTATCCTTTACTAGGACCTAAGGATAACTTTATTCTACTCGCCCTCACTAAGAAAGGATGCTGTATTAGAGAGAGAAGAGCAGCAAAGAGTGTGATTTTTCTGAACTGCTGCCCCAGCAATTTCCTTTCTCAGCCTCATCTATATTGTTCCAGAAACTATAGCACTGGGTGTTTTGACAAGTGTGCTATTTTCACTTCTATGACTTCCACCTCTAATTCAAAGGTGGTAAAGTGGAGAGGCTATTTATTAGATTCATTGGTAACAGATTAGCACACACATTTATTTTCCTTTCATTGCCCAGTGAGTGGGTCACTAATGGCCTGCCCGATCAAATTAGGAGACGCCTGCCCTTTCCCACATGAGGTTCCCTGTACTTTATGTGAACAGTCTCTGTTAGAAGCCCAGTGTTGCTATCATCTGCATCTCCTCCCTGGCACCATCTGGAAACCTCACCATTCTCAGAATGCAAGGTGCATCCGCTTCATTCTTAGACATTTTATCATGCTGAGAATGCTGAGGCACTGGGAGGACTGTCATGATTGTCTTGTTGGAGAAAGAAAGAAAGAAAAAAAGATGATCTACTCTAATTCAAGTATGAGGCTGAAATATAAGCTGGAGAAAAACAATGATATTAGTTCAAGCTGCTCAGAAGTGAATTATATCTCCCCTTGGATTGTGTCTCTAACAAATAAACCAAAAGCCGCTACTGAAGGTGGATGCTAATTCTGTAGCTCAGGCTTATTTCTGGCATTATTCTCTATAGTGCATCACTCTCCCAGACCCTAGGGAGAAATAATGCTGGAGCTCTATATTGCCCAAAAGGGCTGTGCCGGCAGCCTCCTCCACTGCCAGGGGTGCCCTGGAGGGCTCTCCTCCAACTCACAGGGGCCTCATTGGTGGATGTTTCAGCAATTTCTTATAGGGGCAGCAGTGGCAGCAGCTTTGAAGGAGACTGCAAGGACTTGCTCAACAAAGATGCCCTCCCTTCCCCCCACTAGTCTCTGGTGGCTGAAATTCTTAGCTGTCATTATTCTTTAAGAGGCAAGAGTATGGCACTGTTTGGGGAAATTTATCCCTGACTATCTCCTTCTCTGCTTCCTTAGTTTCCATTTTTTTAAAATGGAATTTAAATTTTTTTCAGGTATTTTTGTTTTTTAATGTTTTATTTATTTTTGAGAGGAAGGGGGGAGAGAGAGACAGAAAGAGACAGAGGTGGGGGGATCTAAAGCAGGTATCTGCACTGAGCCTGATGTGGGGCTCAAACTCAGGAACCTTGAGATCATGACCTGAGCCAAAGTAAGATGCTCAACTGACTGAGCCAGCCAGGCGCCCCAGTTTCCACCTTTTTTTATGGTTACTGAGGATTAGGATGATGGGCATTGAGGACGGCATTTGTTGGGATGAGCACTGGGTATTGTATGGAAACCAATTTGACAATAAATTAGATTTTTTAAAAAAAGGTTACTGAGGATTAGCTTAACATAGATAAATCAATGAAAAATACTGAGGGAAAAAAAATTTATACCTGGGCTCTGCTCACCCTACTCCGTGAATAACACAAAACAAATACCTTGTGCTGCATAAAAATGGAATTTGTACATGCCCTGAAATGTACGACATGCCTCTGATATGGAGAAAAGAATGAGTAGCCAGCTGCTACAGTGAGAATACACTACGGAAACTGATCCTGCTGCTGGAAACTTCTAGAAATGATAAAGGAGCATATTCAAACTTAGCTCAAGTAATACATCCCAAATAGAGATTTTCTTCCATTCTCCTACCACCAACACACAGGCGCATGCACACACACACTCAACCCCAAGTAAAATTGGCCACACTCTCTTTGGTGCCATAAGGGTAGGAATTTGTTTTATTAATCTTCATATCTCCAGTGTCAAGAACAGTAGTACTCTCAGGGTAGGTGTTTAGTGTTTTTTAAATAAATGAATGGACCTCAATTTATTAAAATGATCCAGCAATAGAATGATCTGGTTTTCCAGGGAACATAGAGTGTGGGCTGCATCTCCATACAAATAAGCTTTATTTATATCCTGTATTTATGGATGAGAAAATGGAGCTTCATAGAGATTCAGTAGTTACTTGCTCAGGGTTACTCAGCTAGAAGATAGCTGATGTGGAATCCAATCCCACATTTGTCTCCTCCTGATAATCATAGTCATTATGGAATATTGCCCTATTATTGAAGCCACTTTTCTAACATGCATTACTTTTCAGATCTAACCCAAGTAAAGCCCAGTTGATGTAAAATAATCTTCCTAAAGACAGAAAGAGTGTTTCTTTGATGATTAAGCTTTCATTGCTGGCTATGGTAACAGGATGTAAATGAAAAGATTTAGGTTATAGGGTCAGGTGAATCTCTTTTGAACTTGGTGAACTGGGGCAAATAATTGGATCTTTCTGAGTATTCATCTCCTTAACTTTAATTAGAGAAAATACTATCTATCCTGTTTTACTCACAGGGTATACAGGATCATATAGCAATATTTGAAAATATTCTGTGAAATATAAAATAGCATAAAATGTATTTTTTTAAAAGGACATATCAGGAATTTAGACAAATATTTGAATCACTTAAATTCTTTTGAGTCTATGTGTGTATTGTATATACTACATATATTCTTATGTCTTTTTTATTTTTTGAATATTTATTTATTTGCTTGTATATTTATTTATTTATTTATGAGACAGAGAGAAAGAGTGCATGTACATGAGCCGAGAAAGGGCTGAGGCAGAGGGAGAGAGAGAATCCCAAGCGGCCTCCATGGCCAGCACAGAGCCCAACTTGGGGCTTGATCTCCTGATCGTGGGATGATGACCTGAGCCAAAATCAAGCTCAGCTTACTGAGCCACCCAGGTGTCCCTTTTAAATCTTTTTTTAATGAAGATAACTTTGGAGTAATTTATGGGGTCTGTTTAGTTGAAGTTTTTCTGTTAAGTCCAACCAAGGAGACCCAGTGGATCCATTTGCCAGCCATCCTGAAAATGAGAGGCCTTGTGACCATGTGGCCTGCTCATTTAAGCAGAAGGAATAACACATTCAGTGCTAATTAAAATCTTCAAAGGGTCTTCAAAGGGTAGCAGTAAATACTATGTATTTCCCTTATTTAAAACACCAGCAGATGAAAAGTTTTTTTTTCTTCTTAATGAATATAGGATTCCCATCTGTTATCTTTACGAAAATGTACCATGTAATGCAGAAGAAAAAAATAGAATTGAAATGATTGTGTCATTCTCTTTCTTTTACAGTAAGGCATTGTTTTCTAGAACCAGATGATGCCTTTTTTTTTTTTTTTTTTGGTCCTTTTCTTTTCCTTTCTTTTCTTTCCCTCCTCCCCACGCCCACCTCCTATCTTCCTTCAAAGCCATGGGAAACTATTAGTCAGTCCTGATAAAACATAACCAAGCAGAGCTTCTGGTCACCCCTATTTCTAAAACACAGTGATGATACTGGGATTAGCTCACACAGCACCCCCCCACCCCCCAGCTAGTCTGTCTTCTCGTGTAGAATGGCTGGAAAGCTTAGGCCTGTGTTTGTCAAGTGCTCAGCAGCTAGGATACAGCCAGGCAACCACTCAGACCTCCACACAGCCCTGTGTACAGGAACCTTGGATGTGGATGTGAGCCACATCAGGAGAGTGTGGCTCACAGAGAAGGCAGGTACAAGTTACCAGGTTCTTTAGTGGCAGCTACCCTAGGGCTTCTGGTGTCTGATCCTGGCATGTTAGGTGGCACATAGTGGACGATAGGGACAACAGTGGCTTTGTAGCAATACAGATTCTGTGAGGAGATTGGGCAGTTTTCATATTTGTGTCTGTGGCTGATTATATACAAGAGTGTTTTCCTGGCCCTCCCAGAGAAGTCTGTGAGCTACCTAACATCCATTTATAAACCCTCCTCTGTTCAAACTAGCCAGAGACAAATCTGTTGCCTACAAGAGTCCTGACATTTATAATTAACACCATATGAGGTTTTAACCAGTTTTAACATAACTCTATTGATATGCTTCAGCAAATACCACTAGTTGCCTAACCAACAACCATTTCCTCTCTTTCTTATTTACAGAACCGTTTTGTAGGCAGTAGCAATGTCCCCAGTGAAAAAATGACATTCCCTACCTTCTCTTGCAATTAAACATGGCTGTGGACATAATTCGAGTTAAAAGGATGTCAGCAGGGGCTATCTGTGTAAGCTTTGCTTCCCTAATAGAAGCAACAAACCTTTCCACTTCTTTTTCACCTGAAAGATAGATGAGGCAGCTGGAGCTTCAGCATCCATCTTGGGACCATCATGGAAAGGCTGAGAGAGTGGCAGAGAACCCACCCTGACA